TGGATGTATGTGATAACTGTCTTGTAGCTTTATATATAAATCAGTGCTCTTTGTGTTTAAATTTTTATATGGATTTTTCAAATAAAGCAATTTTAGAGCTGTGATTTTGATAGCCACATAATCTCAGTCTTCCTTTTTTTTATTTAATTTTTTTTTTTTTTACAATATTGGGGATCAACCTCAAGGGTGCTTGACCACTAAGCTACAGCCCCAGCCTTTTTTTTTTTTTTTTTTTTTGGTGGTGCTGGGAATTGAAACCAGGGCCTTGGGCTTKCGAGGCAAGCACTTTACCAATTGAGCTATATCCCCAGCACCTCCTAGCCTTCTAAAATTTTATTTTGAGACAGGATCTTGTTAAGTTGCTCGGGCTGTCCTTGAATTTTTGATCTTCCTGCCTCAGCCTAATGAGTAGCTGGGATTACCGGCGTGTGCTACCACACTGAGATTATTTTATATAACATAAAGGTATTTTGGCAATATAAGTCTAAAGTGTATTTAAAATACCGTTTTTGTTTCCTAAGGAGGATGGTTTTGTGGTGTTCAGTGTAGGAGAGTAGACCTGTTTAAGGAGCATTTATATGGGAGCCACTACATTGGTTTTCCAACAGCACCACACCAGACTTCTTGGGAAGTTTCAGTGTACATCTCAAAGTTTTTAATCTAGCAGTTATTGGTCTTTAAGGGTGTAAAATTCACTCTGAAATCAGAAGAAAAATTGTTTTGTCTTAAAACCTATATGGAAGAAATTCTACAAGTACTTTAACTTGTTCTAATATTTAAGCTTCCAAACTGATTGGAAGTTTCTCTTTATATATTAACACAGAACTCTTTGTTGTAACTTAGCTATGAAAATCAAGGACAGGAGGTCATGATGTCAATTTCACATTAATTAATGAATCCCTGCTTAATGTGAAGTCATTTTGAAAAGTTTCAAGCTGCATTGTTAAGGAGTTAGATTCAAAAGTTACTCAATGTCTTGTTTTTTACCCCATATTCTTATGAAAAATAAATGTACCTCTGTACAGTTGTTGTCCTTCTTTTACAGCCCAGTCAGATCAAAGATGTCATTCAGCCTAGCTGTCTTAATACTTTTGAGAGCAGTTTTTCTTGGATGGGACCAGCAGTCTGTGGCCTGAGTGGCATTAGACAGCAGAACTAATTGCATCCAATAGGAAGGAAGAATGAGGAAATTAGGGGAGAGGAAAGGACAGACTGTTAGTGGAAGAAGAGGTGAAGACCAAGGAAGGATAGAAAGGAAATGGAGAGTAAAAGAAGCTGCTGTGGTTGTCAGTGCTAATTTACCTCAGGTGCCACATGGTACATTCTAGACTAGCTAGCAAGCCCACAGAAAACAATAAAGGAGTGCACTGCATCTGTCTCATCAAGTACCCCTCAAATTTTTCTACCTAAGTACTTCTCACTGTAGAGGTGGTATAAATGTGTATCTCAGGAAACTAATGAAATGCGATTTTGAGATGTCTTTGAAGTCTTTTTATATTATGAATCCATGCAACTTTTACCTTGTGTTTAGATAATAGAACAGTATCCCACCCACTCCTGTGCATACAGTCTTTTAGGCTGGGGAAGATGCACTGTGTTTATCTAGTGACTTAAGAGCATCCCCCACCCTATGCTCCTGGGTTGCACATTCCAGTAGTGATGCAGAAGAACAGGTATAGCACATAGCTTTTGATGGTTAAGGCTACATTGTTGGTGGTACTTTAGACTTCTGCTGGATTTTCAAGGTGCCTTTATAAATTGTGTGAGCTATTAATTACATAGCCCCATCTCAGCAATCCTTCACTGAGTTCTAATAAGGAAATTTATGAGCAGAAATTGAGGGTATGGTTCTAATCTGGAGTCCTTAGGATGTGTGGTTTGATCCAAAAAGCCATCTTATTAATTTCTCTGAGCTAACTGAGTCAGATGTCCCTGTTCTCCCCAAACACATAAATACAATATTGTTTCTCTCCCAGAAGTCACCCTGCCCAAATGACTTCTTCGTAAGTTTTTTCAGAAATTGCAAATAATTCATCTAAAGATTAAACACAGTTCCTTATATATGGTAATCAGACAACGAATGTTAGCTGCTGTTTTGTTGTTGAAATTATCATTATCATTATGCATGCCCACTGTGAGGACAGAAACATCCACACATGGAAAGTAAGATTTGCTGGTGGCACTTTGAAAACAGATGGCTGATCAGTAACTTTGGATTTTGGGTTGTGAACAGGTAAAGCCTCTATCAAACTAAGAAATAGATACTAGTTGCCATACTGATAAAAGGAAGTGGAAAAACTAAAATTTGGGTGCAAAAGATTAACAACATGAACTGTAACACTGATTTTAGTTTCATATTATTTAACAGTGTGGCCAAAGTATAGTCTGTGGGAGTAGTGCCTAGTATAGAGCCTGCTTTGTGCTACTTTCTGTGTGTTGGTTGAATGAGTTTGGTGGGTCGAGACCTTATTAAACAGGTTGATTATATATACACATGTGCCTGATGAAGCAATACATTTGAATTGTTATATAATGGTCAGTGAGAAGCCATATAGACTTTGAATGGGGAAATAATGTAATTGGTGGTCTGCTTTAGCCTGGAAGGAAATGTGCTAAGGTTATATTTGATAACAAGACTATGGTAAATTCATGTTTACTTTTCTAAAGTTTCTGAGAACACACCTTTCTAAAGTTTTTAAGAGCACACTTCTGAAGGTGATAATGGTTCTATGTGGGGAGGTGCAAAGTGGGAGTAGGGGCAGCTACTCTGAATCTGGGAGGGGCAGCATGTGTACTTTGAAAGAGAGCCCGAAAGAAGTTGTCCTTCTTGGGAAACACCACGTTAGGGCATTCTCAAGTATTAAAAACATAGAATTTAGAATTAAATGTAACCTAGAGGCCCTCAGATCTAACCCTCGAGTTATGGATGTGTTCACATGAATTCATTAAGACTCAGTCCAGGACTCCTGATTCCTAGTTCATTATTCTTTCTAAAGTATAATATATTAAATTTGTAGTGAAAATTATATAGGTGAACCAAATGTTAGGAAGAACCTACATAGTTTAGTTTTCCCTTCTCCAAAGTCACTTTTCTAATAAGCCTGAAAGTTTTCATATTATTTTATTATACTTTTAAAAGCTGTACCACTTAGATATTTATTTATTTAGTTAATTGTAGTTGGACACAATATCTTTATTTTACTTATTTATTTTTATGTGGTGCTGAGGATCGAACCCAGGGCCTCCCACGTACTAGGCGAGTGCTCTACCCTTGAGCCCCAGCCCCAGCCCCCCACTTCTTAGATATTTATGTAGCTTAATAAGTATAATAATCAACCAGGCCAAAGACTAAATATACCAGCCCAAAGACTAAAATATTTCCCTTTTTTCTCACTAGTCTTTTAAAAAGTACACACTTTTAAAATTAGAATTCTATTTTTGTATAGCTTTTTAAAAAAACAATATATMCATTTGCTTATATACCTAAATTCGCCTGTGAAGATATCATTTGAAATGGTTACATAGTAGCATTCTATGTTATAGATGTGCCATAATATTTATGATGAAACCTCTATTGCTAGATAGGTAGTACTCAACTTTTTCAAACAAGTACCTGTTTTATTAATTAAATTGGCTCTAAAAAGATTGGAGTCTTTCAGTTATTCTTACAATAGTTTGAATTGGTTAATATCTGTTTTCTTTTTACTAACTAGCTAAGCATAGCTAGTTWTTATTAATGCTGAGAGCAACTAGTGAAAGAATGGAGGATGTGATTTGGCACAAGGACTGTAGGAAGGAGGAGGCCAGGTAGAGCTGGTTGTGAAGTGTGTACTTCATGAACTGTTTGCAGCCCAGGAGGAGGGACGAGGAAGGAGCCTGTGAAATGGAGTAATTTCAGTACTTTGCATAGGAAGCTTTCCCCCATCCTTTTCCTGGTCTAAGTGACCTTCGCTTCAAGACCTAAAGCCCAAGGTATTTTAATAGTTGTGTGGTTCTCTCACACAGTTGATGTGCTTAAGCATTGGTTGAAAGGCTGGACACCTAAATAGCACTTCCACTTAACACTTTCCAAGTTCCAATCTAACTGCTTATAATCGAACATTATTGTTATGAGCAGTGGGCAACCCATAGTCAAATAAGATTAGATAAGATTTATTTTTCAGTTGAAATGAAAGGGCAGATATTGGCAAATTTAGTCACTAATAGAATGTTATTAGCAAAGGACGGGACATCAAACATAACTCAAGGGCCACAAGCTTCAAAAGTGTTAAAATGAGGAGTTGTTGCTGATTTGTGTAGAACCTTGAAAGATGACACTCATTACATTTCAGGAACTTGTGCTAGTGAGTGATGGCAGAACACAGATAAAATCGTGATTTATAAATATTCTGAAAGTTTTTACCTTAGCCAATATTTTCAGTTATATCTGTACTTTTGAGTTACAAAATGGGCGAATTGGTATTTCATGTGCTCCTTCTTTAGTTGGAAACAGTTGGGAGAGTGAAGATGAAAACTACATCTTCATTCTATTGTGGTGTGACATTGGATAGGGCATTTCACCTTCTGGTTGCTAACCTATAAGTAAAAGAATAATTAATATTGCTTAGATAATTTTTGAAGTTCCTTCCGAACATAAAGAGTCTTTGTTTCTTTTAAAACAAAAAGTGATTTGTGAGGTAGAATTGGCTATACTTTCTCAAATTTGAAGATTAAGCAAAATGCTGATCTGTTGGTTCCTGTAACTTTCAAGTATAGCATCTTGAAGGTGTCCCTCTATCAACTAAAGAACAAATGTCTCACTTTAATATATGACTGCATCAGAAAAAAAAATGCAACCACAGTAGGTGACCAAAGGGATAAGTAACTTTCAGGAATTTTGAAAGCCCAGTAGTATTTAATGCTCTCTCAGCATTAAAAAGGTCACCTTGCTAATACATGTTAATTTTGAAAGTTTAATTGACCTTTGGAATTTTAATATCAACCTTTTTTGGTGTGTTTAGAGGTTGGAGCAATCACAGAAGAAACTGAAGCCTGTGATTGGTGGAGTTTGGGTGCTGTCCTCTTTGAACTTCTCACTGGCAAGGTAAGCAGTGACCTGGACATTTAATAAATTTATCCAGATGCCACCTTGATTTCAAATTGAGAACGTTAGCCTGTGCCTTTACTTTTCAGGTCAGGGACTAAGTAAGAAAAGCTTTGATGCCAAAAGCAAGCAGTGAAGTACAAATTTATCAAGATTCCAGATTTTTTAAAAATAAAATCTTATTACATTGAATAAACTGATGGCAAATTGTTATTATGTCTAATGTTACATAATAAGATTTAAGACTAAACATTCCTTTCCTTCTTTTTCTATGATTCAACTTTAACAGAGTAAGATTTGTAATGTTTATACAATGTATTAGAATTCTCTAGAGGTAAACATCTTATCTGGACCTGGGAGGGAATTCTCATTTTTAGAAAATTAATGCAGATATAACAGGTAACATTATCTTTCTCAATATTATAAATTTTTCCTATATGTTTTCATATTAGGACAGAAAGAATTTATATTCTCTGATAAGTAACTTTTAAGTCTGATGCTTGAGGTTAATAGATTTTAGAATATTGTGCAGATTGCCTCCTGGGAAGAAAATAGATGAACAATTATGCTTTTGTAAGTAGCTGCCTTAAATATATGAACATCAAACTAAGTTTGTTATAAAGTTTACAAATCACCTCTACATATATTTAAGCTCCAAAGTGCTATATAGATGTAAAATATTACTACTAGCAATTTCTAAACTTTAAATGTTTTTTTAAATTTTTTTTTAGTTGTAGTTGGACCTTTATTTTATTTATTTTTAATTGGTACTGGGATCAAACCCAGCGCCTCACACATTCTAGGCAAGTACTGTACCACTGAGCCACAATCCCACCCCTAAACTTAGTTTTTAAGAACATTAAAATATTTTGGAGATATCCRGTCCCTTTTTTAATGTTTTGTATGTAATATAAATTTTTCTATTATGAGTCATTAATTTTATAACTAAGGGAAAAGGGACAGGTGCATAAGCTTATAATGTGGTCATGATGACTCTGCCTTTGTTTCCGTTAGAAGTTGTATAGTCTCACAGCCCTCAGCATGAACTGCTTAGGTGGCATTGTGTTGATTACTGTGCCTCCAGTTAAGATGGTTGTTGAGCTCTGTGTCCTTGCTGTCTGTAAATACTGTGGTAGAACAGAGTATGATGTTATCTAGGATAAGAAATGTACCTGATTGATTGTTTCAGACTTTGGTTGAGTGCCATCCAGCAGGAATAAATACCCACACTACTTTAAACATGCCAGAATGTGTCTCTGAAGAGGCTCGCTCACTCATTCAACAGGTAATTTAATTGACCTCTYGGTTAAGTCTATCAAGCATGCAGATTAGCAGAATCCACCAAAACAAAGCCTTAAAGAAATTAGTTTTAGGCAAGAAAGACTCATTTAGAATTATATACATTTAGAATTAACACTGTAGATTTTTATTTAGGCTTCTGCTACTATCAAAGTATTCATAGAATCAGAAAAGATAGTTGAAACTTGGTATTTTTTTCAAAAATCAAGGTTAATATTCAGTCAGTTTTATATAAGTGTGAGATTTGAATATTGACTTTAGTTTATCTAGGGCTATTCTGGTTTTGCGATCATATTTTATAATGACATATAAATGGCTATTTTCATTTTTTAATTCTTATTTATAAGCAGTAATGGACTATTGAAATTTCTTAGAAGTGTTTTAAAAATCTCAACAAGTTAAATCACTCTACTAACTTCATCAATTAGGGGAAGTTGGGCATTGATGTCAATTAGTACAATTCTGGTGGCTTGAAAAAAGAGCCTATTAATAATTAAAGTTCATTATCCCAGAGGTGGGCTTGGAACTCTAGGAAGTTTTTTAAATTAATTCCCTATATTTAAAATACAAGTTGAGTATCCCTTGTCCAAAATGCTTGACCAAAAGTGTTTTTAAGATTTCAGACTTTTTGATTTTGGAATGTTTGCATAGGCTTTACTGATTAAGCATCCCTAATTTAAATGTCCAAAATTTGAAATGCTCCAAATCTGAAATTTGTTGAATGACAACACAATATTCAACAAATTTCAGATTTGGAGCATTTCAAATTTTTGGATTAGGGATACTCAACCTGTATATTTCTGTAGTCTTTAATAGTGAATTTTGCTGAATACACTGAGAGTTGCTGTAATTGTGGTTTGATAGGCTCACAGCATTCAGCAGGAATTGTCAGGCCTGGGTCCTATATTTTTAAACATAAAGAAAAAGATTACTTGAAAAAAAGATCAGGATGGTCTTTTTTTTAAGTCAGGGAAAACAAAAAGAAAATTTAAAAGGGAAGGATATATTAAGAGAATTATCATGTATTCTTTTAAAGAGGGATTTTGGTGTCATTGAACAAATATTATATGCAGGCCCAGTGTTGTAAGCTACAAAGGTAAAATCATGAATAACAGTACCACACAATGGAATTTAATAATCTCAGAGAGGTTTAGAAAATACTTTGGCAAGTCARGAGGAGAAGGGGTTATAGTCAATGTAGTGCTAGTATTATGAAAGTTTTTGTGGGATGGATTTTATTTTTGCTGGGCCCTAGACAGAAATTTAGCAGGGCAAAGTTAGGTGTGGGGGGAATAGTGTAGGTGGAATGAACAGTTTGAACAAAAGACTCAGTTCAGGAAATCAAAAGTTTGGTTTATCTGGAGTGGAGAAATGAATGTAGAATAATAGTAGGTGAATGTAGGAAGATAAGTTGGGGTTTTCTTATGAGGTTCTATTATCATCAATACAAGTATAGAATAATATTATTCACTGAAAATTTGAGATTAGATGGCCAGCAAATATATGAACAAGTATTCAGCATCTTTAGCAATAAGGGAAATGCAAGTCAAAACTACACTGAGATGTCGTCTCACCCCAGGTAGAATGGCAGTCATCAAGAATACAAATAATAGTAAATGCTGGCGAGGACATGGGGAAAAGAAACATTTATATACTGCTGTTGGAATTGTAAATTAGTACAACTACAACCACTATGGAAATCAGTATGACAGTTCCTGAAAAGACGAGGAATGGAACCATCTTATGGTATACCACTCCTTGGTTTTTATCCAAAAGAATGAAAGTCAACGTACCATAGCAATACAAGCACATCACAGTATCCAAGCTATGGAGCCAGCCTAGGTGCCTGTCAACAGATGAATGGATAGGGAAAACATGGATTGTTATTCAGAAGAGCAAAATTATGTCACTTGCAGAAAATGAATGGACTATGAAGCATTCTGTTAAGTGCAAACAGACTCAGAAAGCAAGGGTCTTCCTTTTTTCTTATATGTAGAAGCTGGAGAGAAGAAGTGGGAAGAAAGTGAGGGAATCTAATGAAAATAGAAGGGAAACCAGTATAGTAGAAGAAGAGAATCAAAAGTAGGGAGGAGAGGAGGGAAAAGAGAAGTTCTAGGGAATGAAGTTGACCACATCGTGTGTATATATAAATATATCCCAGTGAATCCCATTATTTTAAATAATGATAATGTACCAATATGAATTTTTTTAAAAGAAAGTTCAAGATTTAAGAAAAAAAAATTTACAGTTATACATGGGCACAAGACCTTTATTTTATTTGTTTATTTTTACGTGGTGCTGAGAATTGAATCCATGCCTCACACGTGCAAGGCAAAAGCTATACCACTGAGCTACAACCCCAGCCGCATCAAAATTTTGAGCTCTTGTACAGAAAATGAAAGGATTGGAGTTGGACTTAGGAAAATTAATTTGCCCAGACTATGAGAATTAAAAAGAAACAATCAGGTTAGAAATACAGAGATGAGAATACCCAGAGCACTTTGGGTTAAGGATTAAGAAGCAGTGAAGAAATAATATAAAACATTTCATTGTTTTTGGGGAAAAATAGCTGTTCTTTAGATTTTGTCTTATTTTTTGTGGCACAAGATAAATACAGAGTATTTGGGGGGTAAATATTTTAGGGAATACTAGCAACTACTACTTTATGTTTCTTTTCCTTAAAGTAGTAGTCATTATTATGTAATATTGGAAATAAAGTTCCTTACAGCGATATATCAAGTCCTATTGTATTCTTTATTAGAAATTACATTGTAAAGGAGTTTAGACTTAAGGTATGTTAAGTCCTCGGATATGCATATATAGTAAATCATCATTCTGTCATTGGCTTGCCTGAGGAAACTACCACTCATGTTGAGGAAACATCATCAGGAAAAGGAAAAGGGGTCTCTTGGCATGATTAGCAATTTGTCATTTTGACTTTCCTCTTCCACTACCTCATGGGTCATAAAGGTCATTTAAAAAAAACACAAAAATGATTTATATGGAAATAATTATTCTGTTTGGGGGAAATTTTCTCCTCTTTGGTCTTTCAGCTCCTTGCTTTGTTCTTAGATTTCATAATCTCCTGTACTTATGGTTCACATCTGTCCAGGTCAAGTGAATGCTGCTAAAGCAAACAGTTACTTTTTTAGATGCAAGCTTAAAAAATCCTCAGAGCATGTATGTTTGTGCTTTACAGAGCACATTTAGTTCTTTCTGACACAGTTGCTTTGTCAGTTGAACGATTATGTAAGAAAAAGACCTTCACAACAAATTTCTATGCCCTTAYTGCTCAGCCTTCTTGCTTAATGTTTGGGGGAAAGGAGGTTGGTAGTGGCTATCCTGGTTTCATTATTTGAATTCTCCACAGGCACATATRTTCTATTAAGGAATAGAAATTTGTGTGATCTCTCTTGAGGCTTTTATAGCATTTTAAATGGCAAAATAAGCAAGATTGTCATCGGGTAAGCAATTATACTTTTGTCGGTAGATTTATACTTTCAAATAGGTGGAGAAGTCCATATGAGTAAATTCAGTCTAGCAAAAGTCAAATGTGAAGCTTTGGAATTTTACATTTGTAGTTACATTTTGGAAAGAGTCAAGTGGAAAGGCCAGTTGAAGCAAATATTATGTGTATTTGTTTCCCGAAATATTATATGTATTCTTGAAATATAATAGTATAGCTATTGTTAATTCTTACCAATATTTGATATGTTAATTTTATGTTAAAAAGTATGATGCCTTTCACATTTAAATCAGTAGACAAGAATTGTCTGTAAAAATTTAATTTAATACACTTAGGTTATTCCTATAGTTTTTTTTTTTAATATCAGCTTTCTAACACAGCAACTTCGAATTCAAAAGTTCTTTGAGCAGTTAGCTTTAATAAACAGTAGTAGGGTCATTTGGGGTGGTAGACATAATAATGTCAAGTGAAAAGACTGTCAGTATAGTCTTTTGAAGTATATGCTTCTCTCCCCTGGTGGATTTGGTAATACAAAGTGAGTAATAGATTATTGGCATTTGCTGATAACACATTCATGAGGCAGTGTAATGTGATTAAGGCATAAATTTTKGAGTCAGAGTGCCTGAATTCAAATCCTTTGTTTGCTACTGGCTGCCCATATCTTAAGCAAGTTACTTAATTTCCCTGAGCCTCTGTTTTCTCATCTATAAAAGAAATAATAATAGTAGCTATTTGTAGAGTTACAGTGTGTTAAATGAATTCACCTGTTAAGCACTTAGAACAATATCTGGCATGTGACAAGTGTTATGTGAATGTTTTTATTGTTGATAGGAGAGAGTTGAAGATTCATGACATAATTTGTAATTGATGAACCACATATTTGAATTACAGAGCCGCTAATGTAAGAGTGAAGCAATTGCTGATGATATAGGTGAAAAGATTTTAAAATGTAGTAGACTGGCACAGAATAGGGAATCAATTTATATTTATTATACAAATAATGGAATTAATGAATGAATAAAAAGTAGAAACAAAAGAAAAAAAATAAAAGCTTTGTCTAACTGTGTTTTGAAGGAATTTCCTGTATGTATAGCACCAGTAATATTGTAAAGAAATMATTTAAATATTTCAGTTAAACTTTGACTACATTCTGTGGAAAAATAAATTTTTGTCAGGGCAGTGAGTTTTTTATGGCTATGGCTACATGAAAGTTGGCAAATTCTCCCCCCCTAAAATAAATATAAAAGTTGAAAAGAATTGGTAAAAACAGTCACTCAGTGATCTGGAAATTGATCAAAGGATACAGTAATCTGAAAAGTATTTATGTTTGAAAAATAGTTGAATTTTAGGAAAGAGGAGTGGAACTCTGGCATTCTTGACTCAATCTGTTCCAGTCTCCCCTCCTTCTTTGKTCAGGTGCAGATTTCTGCCAGGGTGGGGGCAAGCCATGGGGACCAAACCCAGGGCTGCCTGAATGTGCATAGAAACAGGGAAAGGGCCCAGAGGAAAGTGTTAGCCAG